TGGAGGCATAGCTAGTCAGAGGTGGTTCTCTGAACTACTCAAAATTTCCACTACAGGTTCTCCAGAACTGGTCAGAACCTGCTGAATACCACCTCTAATCCAGAGATAGCATCCAGACAACATAAGGGAGCAGCTCAGACACATCCTAATTCATTGAACTATAAGAAAGAAGAGGAGTAAATCCTGCAATCTTGGAACAGTTTCTTATTATAATCAGTCTCAATAAAAGTAGTTTTAATCCTCCCGTGGAGCTTATTTCATGGTCCGTCTATCTAATGGGACTGACACATAGTCACATACAAGTATTACAACCCTTTGTTTAGTGACTATTTGAAGTTACAATGACAGTGAAAATAATGACTTATGACAATTTTTCACATTTACGGCCAATGCAACATCCCCATGATAATGAAATTATCTCAAAATGCACATGCTTGGTAATTGGCATTTATTTATAGCAATTGCACTATCCTGGGATCACTGTTTGTAACCTTCTGATCAGCAATGTGGAAACCAGATTCAGTTAACCAGCCAGGTTACTAATTGATCAACTGCTGTGATTCACTTAATGGCAAGAAAAGTTATAAATGAGGCAAAACTCACTTCACAACTATTTTGCTTAGCAGTGGAAATTTTGGGTTCAATTGTGGTCATAAGTCCAGGACTATCTGTAATTACATTTCAGTTAATGTATGTCAAATCCACTTTTTTAAAAAAAACTTTTTAGTTTTTTGTTAGTGATGTAACCCAGTCAATTTTCTGCCTTTTGCAATGATTTTTTCCCCTAAAATTCTGTTCTGGATTATGAAGCAAGCTTCTCTTATGACATTTGAACTTCTAAACAAATTTGCATGAAAAATCTGTACATAACCCTGGGCAAATATTTTCAACACTCTGTTTGGCAACTTATACCAAAGCATACTAAAGGAAAGCTAATGAAACTGTACAATGATATATACATAAATGCATACATATATATCAGTGATTTATGTTGGTGATCTCAAAATCATGATGTTTGGGAAACATATCTGTATTCCTGATTGGGTCAGTTCTGAGCAGACATTCCAAATATTACTTCCTATTCAGCATTTTAAAAATTGTATAACAAGATTTTAATTTGTATATCAATTTTCCTGGTTTGATTACTGACTATACCAGGACATCCAACATGTATCTGAATATAGGACTGCTCTTCCCTATGCCATATTCATCATTGTACCTACTGATATACTTACTATTAATGCGTACATCATTGTACATGGCATTGATAATATTCATATTCCATAGTCCCATTCTTTTTTCCATGAACTTTTGATCACATTAGGAATGACTGTTGTGCTGATAGATTAAGGATCTACTCTGATATTTAATACTACTTCTCAGATGGGTTGGAAATCTGATTGGAGATCATCAACATCTTTCTTTATTGATCAGCTCTTGGGCCATATCAAAGAGCAAAGTTCCAGAAACAAATTATTACTAAAATTTGATAAAAGCAATTTAAAATGGAATTGGATAAAATACAATTTAAAATGAAATTGGCATAAAATACAGTCTAAAATGAAATTGGAATACAATATTTTAAGATATAGATAAAATATGATAAAATTATATTTCGGTGTTACCTCTGCAATCTTTCCCAATCAGTCCTACATAGGCAGATCTTAACTGAACCATTTTGCTTAAGTACTGTGCTGTGTTAAATGTTATTTTCAGATTATGGGCGCACATAAGGTAAGTTGTTTTGACATGGGGGATCCCAAAGGCTCATTTGTTTGGTATATTAAATGAATGGTTGCAAGTTAAGGATTACCTGTTGGAATATCTTATTGAGAGATAGTGAGAAAGAGAGATCATGTTTTGTTGCATTATGAATCACCAAATACTCATTGACAGAATTAGATATCTGTGTTTCATGACATCACAACATTTCTTGGCTATTTGAAAATAAAGTTATTAAAAGTGTTGGGCCTAACGCAATATAGTTCACAAGTGAACAGTTAGCTCAGCATGAAAACAGCTTCAGAGTTTTAAAAAAGGATATATGTGCACATGTGTGATTTTGTATGTGGTTCTTACCACAGTACAGTTTGTCAGTTTTTCTAAAATGGTAATAGGTTTATTTTCTCCCTTGCTTTAGTTTGTCTAATGTTTTGATTAATAATATATTAAGATGATGGATATGAGAGTGACTGCTACTAATAATTTTACCAGAGGTGTTATTCCATGCAGGGCAATTAACAATTTATGTACAAAAATAATGTGTACATTTGTTTATGCTTGCAGCAAAACCATCAGGAATTGCTGAGGCATATTTATAGGTACAGAACTTAAGATGAGAGCTCACAATTTGTCCAAGGCAATCACTGAAACCATGAACAATGCTGGTTTTTGAATCACAGTTTTCTAAGTCTGAATATTAAAAATCCTGGACTTTTGGTCTGTTTTATTATTTTTTATGAAGGAACAAGGACAATAACCTGCAGTCACTTAAATAATGCCATTGTCAATTGCATCCATTAAAAGTAGTTTTTATAAAGAGTAATATATGTACAATAAGTGTCAGGTGTATTAATTTATTGATATTTTTGGGCAAAGACAGAGCAGCAGTGTGTTGTTATATTTTCATTGCATTTTTTTTATTTTTTAAGATTCAATTTTATTATCTAATTTAAAGTTGTGTGGTGGAATCTTATCATGCTTAGCAAGAAATATTAGTCAAGTTAGAAGGCCAGTTCCTAGATCTATATTTAAGAGCCATTTTTCTTAAAGCTGAGTTTAGAATAAAGACAATAGATATGATGTGGATAAAATGCCTGAATTTTCTTTTAAAGGGCTATCCTGGTTTTATATGAGAATTTAAATCTTTAGTGATTCCTCCTTAAGGAGAAGGTCCAAATGAACTAAATGACTTTTCATTGAAAAGTGATAACATTTTATAATCTAACCTGGCTACATATATGTATTGATTTCACAAATGATTTGGTTCCATTAAGTGATCGCAGCTGTGTTTGAAAACAGATTGTAGAGAGTAATTGCGAAGAAAAATAACTTTTCAAATGCCTTCTTTAACTGCTGATACGGAGTTAGAAAAAGAAAACGATAATGGATATGGAATTCTTTTTAGAAGGAAAAAGCTATTAAAGTGTGTATCAGTGCATACAAGAATAATTTCCCCCTTCAAGCTGCTTTTTCTGCAGCATGGCCTTAACCTATTCAGACTCTCTTAGCTTTTCCCCTATAATTTAAAAGTGTATTTTATTTCTATTGCATATACTTGATATTGCCCCTTTCATTGACAAAAATACTTCACTACTAGAGACTGATAAAACATTATTAAAATATAGTGCCTACACTTTTTTCTTTCATATTGGGAGAGATAATCATTTAAATTGTTGTGAAATTGTGCCATTAGCAGAATACAAAGTCAACCAGAGCTACTTTTGCAAGGGCTAAGAAAGGAGGAGGCTAAGTGGGGTAAGAGAGGCACTAGCATTGTCATTTTCTCTATTTAACTTTATCAAAATAACTAGAATATTAATATTTCATCTTGAGAAAGGGTCCAAGAAGATTCTGTTAAAGGAGCTCCTGCAGTAGCCACCACGCAAATAGTAACAATCTGTGTAGGCATTTTTCTGATAATATTCTCTGGGACTACTGTATGTTATGATATAATTCTGGCTTTACAGGATTATACATGAAAATGGAAGGTTTTGACAGGAGGTGTATATATGTATGTATGTATGTATGTATGTATGTATGTTTTCTTAAGTTTTCGCGGGTACTTACATGTATGGCATTCAGCTTTGTTCGGGTATTTTCCCACGTCATTGTAGTTGTGCTTTTAAAGTTGTAGCAATGTTTTGGCAGAATATCATCTACCATCATCATATACAGAAGCCTGATGATGGTAGATGAGATTCTGCCGAAACGTTGCTACAACTTTAAAAGCACAACTACAATGACGTGGGAAAAGACCCGAACAAAGCTGAATGCCATACATATAAATACCCGCAAAAACTTAAGAAAAATGTATGTATGTATGTATGTATGTATGTATATTTGTCAACCTTTTGAAATTATATGACATGTATAATTAATCCAATTTATACCCATATCCCAAAGTTGCCTTGTGGTAAAATGAACAGAAAACAAATTTAATAATAAATAAGTATAATATTACTCTCTTTAAAAAAAAAAAAACCTGGACGATAGTAAAAGCCTTTTTTTCCTTAATGTAAATCCAAAATAGATCACAACTGGTTCAGTTTAAAAACAAAACAAAACTAAATAACATGTATTTTTGCTTATTTGAGCATATAATTAAATACAAAAAAATTACATAAACAGATGATTTCAAAACAACCCACTGCAGAATGTAAACTTTGAAGGTCCATTCATTATGGATCGAATTATACCATATCGCTCTAGTGTAGGTTGGTAAATAGATTTTTGCAACTTCCAATCTAAGGCTGAAAAAGACTGACTGATCTCACATGACTCATCCTAGCCCAAAGGACTACACCTGGGTTTCCCTATTTCTATCCCAAGAGCTCTGAAATAAAGTGATATGCTGATAAAAAGGGAAATTGCAAATAACTTACCAAAATTCTTACCAAAATATTTTATTTCTTCCAAACTTTATGTCTCATCGGAGGAAAAGCCACCCAATTAGTTTCACCTGAATTTTAAGTTTTGCAAGGACATAATTCTTCAAAATGTAAGCATTCAGAAATGAGTGAAAGTATTGCTTTCCACTAAGCCAAAGTTTGTCATTATATTTATAATGTTTCTGTTGTGATTACAGACTGATAAACACAATATTGAAGCCAAATAAAAGAGTTCAATTAGCAGTACATATATATTTGTGTTTAATATTAACTTCATACAGTAGTGTCTTATTATAATCAGTTTGGTTCTGTTGTAGTTATTCTGTATAGCAGCTTTCCAATGAATTCCCTTTATATAAACCTCACTATTACATTTTGTTTCATTTGCAGAGGTTACTATATAGTAATTGTACCTTTGATAAAGAAATCAGATGGAAAATTCATGAAACCACGCGAGAGCCCAGATGAAATGGAATTAGATGAGGTACCCTTTGTTTATTTTAGCTCTTTTTTCCCCAGAGAAACCTTTTCTGATTGAAGCAGTCTTAATGGTTATGTCCGATTAATGTATTCATGTCAGCAAGTTGACTTTTTTTTAATACTTTGTCATTTATATTGGAGTTAGTTTCTGGGAGCAAACACAAAAAGCTAATTACGTAAATTAAAATACATTAAGTTGCAATGAGGCACATAAACTGTCTGATCTTTGTTGTCATTAATATTTTATTCCTTGCTGATTGTATGGCATAATGTAGAAAACAAAATGACTTGTCAGCAAAAGTATAATCACCACTGATATGAACTCCAATAAAAGTCTGGTTCATTAATAGGGTATTTGCTAAAGCTGAATCAAATGCTAAATTGCAATTTGCTCTGCAGTTTAACATTTGACCTCCCTCAAAGTCTCTTTACCTGTTTCAGCTATGCTGAAATACTTCTAATTAGAAAGTGTATCTATTATTTTTAAACTCTTGTTCCTTGCACTCCAGATTGAACCGAAACAAAAAAAACAACAACAACCCACCTTCATATTCTCAGAATAAGAGCCAAGTTGTTGAGCCAGGATGTATTTAGTCAATTTCTATTATCCTTATTCTGAAATAATGAGTCAGTGACATTAGAATCTTCCAATATTTTGATATTTTTGAGATCATTAGATTTTGTTTATTTTTTCTTCTAAATACATTAGAAAGAGAGGAAGAATTTAAAAATACCAGTCCTGTCTAGAGGAGATACATAAGGTTGGTATAATATTCACCTATATATTCATTGGACATGGCGACAAAAATTGATTCTTGAAATCACCTATTTTCAAAGAAAGTGTGGAATCATTTAATCCTGATTACATTTTCACACTTTCAAGAATAGAAATATGAACTTATATTTATATATATATATCCCCTGGGATGGATGTCCTGGTGGTTTGTTTTTTTTATGGTAAAATTTGTTGAGTGGATACATTTACATGCAAAGACAATTGGATAACCTTCATAATGATATTTGTGTTGTTAGAATAGAGAATGTAAATACTTTTCCCAGTAAGCTTTGCAGTATCAGTTTTGGAATGTCTGGAAGTAAAGGTTTATGAACTTTTAACTAATGTTTTTTATACTTGGTATCCAAAGTATTCAAATAAGGACATCTGTGAAGCGGTTGGTTGAATTATGTACAAGGTTGATCAGAAACAGTGTTATTACCCATTTGGCAGAAATTCATAACTTTATATTATTAAGAAGACTGGCTGGACTTAAACTAGTACTCTTAGATACTTGAAAAATAAATTGGTTAAGTCTTAGATGCAATTGTCATGTTTCAAATGTGATTTTCTTTTCCATTATGCAACGGCTAGTGTCTTCGGTACAACAGATTTGAACAGTGTTATCTTTGCTATTATTGGTTTCTCTTTAAGTTTTCTCAAATTGTTTCTCAATTGCTTAACTGATTTTACTCATATGTTAAAGTGTTTTGTATACCCAATCAATAAAATTAACCTACCTTGATTTCAAATGTTGTATGATACTATAGAGGGATGGGTGGTGGTGGTTTAAAGTTAAAAATCATGATGCATAATTTTATACATTTAAATTTATTCATTCATTACGTTAGTTGCTACCTAACTTCAAATGACTCTAGTACTTCACAACATAAAATAATTAACAATAAATTAAAAAAAAACAATTAAAATGTATCCCATACCCAGCAAAGGGCTCCAGGCGCAGCTATAGTCAGATCTTTAAGGTCTTCCAGAATGCCATTTTACCGAGATTTGAGGGGAAACCTAAATCTAGAAGGCAGGGACTGTGATAGAAAAGGCATGTTTCCAGTATGCTGATAGCACCGCATAATCAAACAAACTTAGGGTATACCAATCCTGCCATACTGACTGGCTAAGAAGACATTAAAGTCCCTCAAGTCACCAGGCCTGATACTGTACATGCAAAGGGCTATAGTAAGTCATGACATGATTTATAAGTCATAACTAGCAGCTTGAATCACACTGAACCAAACTGGTAACCAGTGGAGGTCAGACAACCAGAGTATCACGTGTGCATACTGAGACATGTCCATCATTGGTCATACCATTGCATTACTACTTGAAGCTTTCAAGACTCTTTAAATCCCTTGTAGAATATGTTGTCATAATTGTGCTATGAGGTGACTAGCACTCCCTGAAGGACTTCCCAATCTCAGAAAGGTATAACTGGCACACTAGATTAAACTATATAATGATCTTCCTGTCTATAGCTGCCACCTGCTTATTAAGCAAGAGCTGTGGATCCAGAAAGTTCCTCAAATTGTACTGTTGAATGAGAAAGTGTTACCCAATTCAAAGTTTAATAACCCCAGCCATTTTGTGGCAGAACTTCAATAGCTTCCCTTGGCCAGTCTGGAGTCAAAAGATATAATTATGTAAGAGAGAAGCAAGCAGAGCTGAAGTGGGTGGAGCTAAGCGAATCATCAGCTTCTAGCCCTATGCATAGGTTTCACATGCATATAATGGGATATTTGGTCAACAAATTCCGTTGCAAAATTCCATTGACCAGTATGCCAGTCATAACAGATTATAATATGAATTTCTTAAAATTAAATAATTTGTATTTGAACAAAATCATTTTTATAATTGTTTATGTTATGATGTGTTAATTAACATAATGCTTTGACAATTCAGAAATGTTATAGTATTCTTTTTAGCTTATCAAAATATAAAATACAGAGAAATAAAGAAAAATGAAAATAATGGAAAAACAGGAAATGAAAAGAGGAAAAGGAAAAAGTGTAGGATAAGGGGGGAAAGAAAAAGAAAAGCACTGATTTCCAAATCCTTTTGGTGCAGTAGAATAAGGTAATAGAATACAATAAGGTAATAACATATAGTACAATCTCAACTAATTCAGAAACATTTAGTAAGGATAGAATCTTCCCCATATTTTTCCAGGTAATTAACAATGTAGTAGAAAATTTTATGGAACTACTGAGAAAACAATGTTTAAGAGGAATCTATTTTGGATTATTTTCTTACAAGAGAGCAGCTGGTAGGATGATACTTTGGGAATGGCATTCTTCTACCAACAAGAATGCTATAATCAATGCTGGAATTCCAGGTGTCCAGTGGTGATCAATTCAAACTCAATGCTAAAGTCATTGAAAACCTATTTTCTGCATGGAACTTTGCACTGCTCTGATCCCATATGCACTGGCAGATGTTACTCCATACCTAATTTGTGGCTTTGGGAAAGAGAGGACAATAAAACACAATGCCAGCAGCAGCTAGTCCAGTGCAGATTGGCAAAGTATTATTGAAAATATACCTAAATGTTTTCTATTTCTTTTTTATTTCCAAATTTCTAGTCACTCTTTTTCTTATAAAAATTAAAAGAAAAAATAATGACTAGACAATTAAAAACAAAGATAATATTGGGAGGGAAAAAGAAATAAAAAATGTTTAAGTATATTTCTAGTATTTTTTTGCCAACATACAATAGTATTTTTATTTAAATAGTAGCAGTAATTACCAAAAATAAACCTTTCAGCAGTTCAGAAGTTATTCAATTCAAAATTAATTATCCCAGTAAGAAGTTCCAAACAGAAAACATTTATTCACATTAAAAAGGACATTTGCTGAATGTAACTTCTGAATAAAAACATAAGAATGAAGGTAAAATTCACGTTGTCTCAATTTTTGTGTGGATATACCTCTCCAAACTATATTCAAATTTAGAATTCTATAACTATCTAACTGAAAAATGCCACATCTATTAGGAAAACATATATTACTTTTTTATATTGCTTATGAAATGTCTTTATTACAGTCTACGACCATCGTTACAATAAAAAATACAGTAGAAAGGGAAATAGTTTATCGCAGCAATTTGTTCTTGGCGAAGGGGAAAAAATAATATGGCAACATATCTAATTAAAGTTTTGCATAGTAAATGTTTGAGCACCTGATATGAGAGAATGGGGTTAATTAGCATGCCTTAAAAATAATAAACATGAAATTTATCCCTATGGCCTTCCTATTTGGAAATGATTGAGATGATCAGAGTATGTCTTGGACCATAAAAAGGGCACCATACGAGGACATGGGAGAGAGTTTCTACCTCCCTGAATCCATAAGGGCCAGATTTCTGTAAATAAAAAAGTCCCATGAAGTCTTTCAACCAGTAGAGATAATTATTTATATTTGCATTAAATTGTACAGATACAGGGCTTGTGGCCATTTGGCATACATCGCAATTCAAAGATGATTGTTCTAGGAAAGCTTTTGTACGTATGAAAATGTATTTGAAATTTTGTGCATTTTTGGACAAATTTTCAAATGTATGTATTATAGTAAGAGAGTGAAATTAAAATAGCAGGTAAAATAGGAAACCAGGAGAAATTTGAATTGCCTCCATGGTGTAGGAAGAGATTATGATATTGACATTCACCAACATTTATATTCCTGCTTTAATCTCTGAAACTGAGCCTTTTCTGAAAACTGAGGCTGAAAACTGACAAAAAACCCACCATAAGTCGTGTTTACTTGACTGCAGAATGCTGCAATCAGCCATAAAGTTCTAAGCACTCAAAATGCGCTCATATGACCCCAGATGGTGACAGCCATCAAAACTCTGGAACCAGGTTATAAGTAGATTTTGGTAAGTCTGTCATAACTTTAAATAGTTGATAAGCAACTAATCATTAAATGAGGACTATCTAGTGGAAAAAGCCATTTTGCAAGCCATTGACATGGTTTCCCAAAGTCTCACAAAACTTTTGCCGTAGGTTTAATCTAGAATCTTAGTCTTCTACATCAAAAGCAGGCTTCTCTAATTTTCCCAAAGTGTCAAGGTTACAACACTCACAATGTCTTAACCAACGAATTGGAAAATATTGGCATAAGACAAAATTATATTTAGTAGTAAAACATTCAGTTGTTGAACTAATATTTGACAATTCAGTCTTCATTTTTAAATATATTATTAATCATGCTAATCTTGGCATTGTACATGAAATCTGCAAACACCACATGGCAAGCCACATGAGTTAGGCCTAAGTTTGATTTGAAACAAAACAGCAAATTATCCTGCTAGCTTCAGCTTATTGGAAGCCTGCTAAAATCAGCGGATTTTGCTTTCCAGAAGTTGCCTTTAGAATTGTGATGGTAAGACTGAAATGGAAAAATCAGAAGTGGCAGGAATACTTTAGGAGAGCTTAAGGAATAATGTATTTATAGAGACTGGATGAATAACATCTGATGGAAATGCTTTAAAGCCGTGATGGTGAATCTATGGCACGCATGCTGGAAGTGGCACGCAGAGCCATTTCCGCTGGCACGTGAGAGGTCACCTGGAAGAGCCCCACTGCGCATGCGTGTGCGCCCCTGCCAGCCAGCTGATTGTCAGGTATCTGCCATGCATGCATGGGGGGGAGATGTGCACGTGCATGCACAGGGGGAGGGGCACGGGGGGGTCGCACACACATGCGCGCGGCACATGGGGGAGTTGTGCATGGATGTGCAGAGGTGCGCAGTGGGGGGTCACATGCACATACACAGAGGCACGCAATGCACACGTAGGGGGGTTGCATGCGCACTGCATGCACTTTCGGCATGCGACGTGGAAAAGCTTAGCCATCACTGCTTTGAAGTATTGCACACTGTTGCTCAATTTGTATTCCTAGACCTCAAAATGCGGCTGTTCTGAAGCCTTGCAGTGTAATTGGTATTATTGTTTCTGCTGCTCATTTGGTTATTTGCTTATTTTGTGTCTACAATCCAAAAATTTGGTTTTGTTTGCATTTATATTATTGATCATATCATATAAAATAAGGTAAAATAATACAATGTATTGGGATATAAAAAAATATTCAATGAAACGGTTATGTAAGACTTGGCAACTGATCCCAATCTGATCTATGTGGGAAGCTCTCAGCTGAATGGCTTTAGCTATAAATGTGACAGCCCTTATCTGAAGGAAGGAAGATAGCTTATTGGTGGGTTTCAACAGACTATCCTGTCAATTAGTGATTTTGTTGTGCTCTGTGTTGAAGCAAGCAGTTGGCAGTCTAAGAGGCTATTTTGATTATATCTACTTATTATTTTAAGCAGTTCATATCCTAAAAAAACAAAAATGCAAAATTTATGTATTTCATTTGTCTGTGTGTTTCTAAAGAACATTAATTGCTTGAAAACAATATGTAGTTTTGGTCAGCAATCTGTGTTTGGAGCCAGGTTTCACTTTCTGAACTTAGAAAGCTATAAGAGTGGTGGTGTACAGGTAGCCCTCGACTTACAACCACAGTTGAGCCCAGCATTTCTGTTGTTAAGTGAGACATTTGCCCCATTTTATGACTTTTCTTGCCACAGTTATTAAGTGAATCAGTGCAGTTGATAAGTTAGTAACCTGGTTGTTACATGAATCTGGCTTCCCCGTTGACTTTGCTTGTCAGAAGGTCACAAAAGGTGATCACATGACCCTGGGACACTGTGACCATCAAAATATGAGTCAGTTGCCAAGAGTCTGAATTTTGATCACATGATAATGGGAATTCTGCAAAGGTCATAACTATGAAAAACGGACATAAGTCACATTTTTCAGTGCCGTTATAACTTTGAACAGTCACTCAATGAACTGTTGTAAGTCGAGAACTGCCTGTAATGATTATTGGGCAAATTGAGATGTTTTGGTTCTGCAATAATCCCATCCTTTTTCTATATTCTCAGGTTTACTAATATTTTAGCTTATTCTCTACTGTTGCACACAGTGAAAGAGACTTTATTAAATAAACAGAGCAACATCTGCTTCCAGAGGCAATGCTCTATCACTGCTGTTTGTCAATCTTCATTTCTCCCCTGTGATAAATTTGGGATTGTTATGTCAGTGCTGTTTTAGCTGTGGTTTACTACTATTCAGAAATTTACAATGAATTAATGCTCGAATGGACAGAATAATATGTTCTTAATATTTTGCGCCAATTCTGTTACCAAGAACCATTAATGTGATAAAAGGAATATATTGCTGTGTGGCCTCTTATTTAAAAGAATTAAATCATATATTCATCAAATATATCAATCATTCAGCTTTTCTGAAAAACTGCTCAATAGTTTGTTACTAGAAGGGATCATAATGTTCAGTATTGAAACCTGTTTTCATTTTCTGGTGTGGCTTTTTAAGAAGGCATGATATTTATTTAGATTTCTACATGTTTATTAATATACTGTATGTATGTATGTATGTATGT